TTGGTAGTGACCTCTACTTGTAGAAAAAATTTCAGGCCAATCTGATGTTTGTTGTTTGAGATAGAGTGAATTCCTCGTTTTACGTTTGTTGTGGAATAATTATACTTTTTTGTGTAATAAACCGATCACTATTTTTTTTAAAATTAACGGCACAACTCATCAAGCTGAAATTTTCTCTGAAGGCAGATGGTAATGACTTCTACTTGTAGAAAAAATTTCAGGCCAATCTGATGTTTTTTTTTGAGATAGAGTGATTTCCCCGTTTTACGTTTGTTGTGGAATAATTATACTTTTTTGTGTAATAAACCTATCACTATTTTTTAAAAATTAACGGCACAACTCATCAAGCTGAAATTTTCACAGAAGGCAGTTGGTAGTGACCTCTACTTGTAGAAAAAATTTCAGGACAATCTAATGCTTGTTGTTTGAGATAGAGTGATTTCCCCGTTTTACGTTTGTTGTGGAATAATTATACTTCTTGGTGTAATAAATCTATTACGATTTTTTTTTTATTAACGGCACAACAAATCAAGCTGAAATTTTCACAGAAGGCAGTTGGTAGTGACCTCTACTTGTAGAAAAAATTTCAGGCCAATCTGATGTTTGTTGTTTGAGATAGAGTGATTTCCCCGTTTTACGTTTGTTGTGGAATAATTATACTTTTTTGTGTAATAAACCTATCACTATTTTTTAAAAACTAACGGCGCAACTCATCAAGCTGAAATTTTCAAAAAAAGGCAGTTGGTAATGGCTTCTATTTGCAGAAAAAATTTCATGTCAATCTGACGTTTTTTGTTAGAAATAGAGCGATTTCCCCGGTTTACTTTTGTTGTGGAAAAAATTAATTGAAGATTTTTAACAAAAGAAAAGCAGTCTTCATATAGGACATTAAAACCCATCTCGGATTGTTGGTTGTTCTTAGTAACGTTCAACCTGCTTGCAAACGGGGTGATTGGGTTTAGAATCGAAAAAAAAATCGGCGTAGAAACTACCTTATTAAAAAGGGGAAGCCTGGCTCAAAGTTTCCCCATGGGACACGGCAATGAGTCTTAGCACCTGAAATCTGATGTCTGTGTTAGGGAATCCGAACTTTTTTTTTTTTTTTTTTTTTTTTTTTTCGCTTTGTAGTGACTACTCCATATTTGTTGAGTTTGCAATAATTTCTACTTGTAGAAAAAATTTCAGGCCAATCCGAAGGTTGGGGTTAGAGATAGAGCGATTTGCCTGTTTTACTGTTGTGTAATAAATCTATTACGATTTTTTTTTTATTAACGGCACAACAAATCAAGCTGAAATTTTCACAGAAGGCAGTTGGTAGTGACCTCTACTTGTAGAAAAAATTTCAGGCCAATCTGATGTTTGTTGTTTGAGATAGAGTGATTTCCCCGTTTTACGTTTGTTGTGGAATAATTATACTTTTTTGTGTAATAAACCGATCACTATTTTTTTTTAAATTAACGGCACAACTCATCAAGCTGAAATTTTCTCTGAAGGCAGATGGTAATGACTTCTACTTGTAGAAAAAATTTCAGGCCAATCTGATGTTTGTTGTTTGAGATAGAGTGATTTCCCCGTTTTACGTTTGTTGTGGAATAATTATACTTTTTTGTGTAATAAACCTATCACTTTTTCTTAAAAATTAACGGCACAACTCATCAAGCTGAAATTTTCACAGAAGGCAGTTGGTAATGACTTCTACTTGTAGAAAAAATTTCAGGCCAATCTGATGTTTGTTGTTTGAGATAGAGTGATTTTCCCGTTTAACGTTTGTTGTGGAATAATTATACTTTTTTGTGTAATAAACCTATCACTATTTCTTTAAAATTAACGGCACAACTCATCAAGCTGAAATTTTCACAGAAGGCAGTTGGTAATGACTTCTACTTGTAGAAAAAATTTCAGGCCAATCTGATGTTTGTTGTTTGAGATAGAGTGATTTCCCCGTTTTACGTTTGTTGTGGAATAATTATACTTTTTGGTGTAATAAACCTATCACTATTTTTTAAAAATTAACGGCACAACTTATCAAGCTGAAATTTTTATAGAAGGCAATTGGTAATGACATCTACTTGTAGAAAAAATTTCAGGCCAATCTGACGGTTGGGGTTAGAGATAGAGTGATTTCCCCGGTTTACGTTTGTTGTGGAATAATTATACTTTTTTGTGTAATAAACCTATAACTATTTCTTAAAAATTAACGGCACAACTCATCAAGCTGAAATTTTCACAGCAGGCAGTTGGTAATGACTTCTACTTGTAGAAAAAATTTCAGGCCAATCTGATGTTTGTTGTTTGAGATAGAGTGATTTCCCCGTTTTACGTTTGTTGTGGAATAATTATACTTTTTTGTGTAATAAACCTATCACTATTTTTTAAAAATTAACGGCACAACTCATCAAGCTGAAATTTTCTCTGAAGGCAGATGGTAATGACTTCTACTTGTAGAAAAAATTTCAGGCCAATCTGATGTTTGTTGTTTGAGATAGAGTGATTTCCCCGTTTTACGTTTGTTGTGGAATAATTATACTTTTTTGTGTAATAAACCTATCACTATTTTTTAAAAACTAACGGCACAACTCATCAAGCTGAAATTTTCACAGCAGGCAGTTGGTAATGACTTCTACTTGTAGAAAAAATTTCAGGCCAATCTGATGTTTGTTGTTTGAGATAGAGTGATTTCCCCGTTTTACGTTTGTTGTGGAATAATTATACTTTTTTGTGTAATAAACCTACCACTATTTTTTTTAAATTAACGGCACATCTCATCAAGCTGAAATTTTCACAGAAGGCAGTTGGTAATGACTTCTACTTGTAGAAAAAATTTCAGGCCAATCTGATGTTTGTTGTTTGAGATAGAGTGATTTCCCCGTTTTACGTTTGTTGTGGAATAATTAAACTTTTTTTGTTTAATAAACTTATCACTATTTCTTAAAAATAACGGCACAACTTATCAAGCTGAAATTTTTATAGAAGGCAGTTGGTAATGACATCTACTTGTAGAAAAAATTTCAGGCCAATCTGATGTTTGTTGTTTGAGATAGAGTGATTTCCCCGTTTTACGTTTGTTGTGGAATAATTATACTTTTTTGTGTAATAAACCTATCACTATTTTTTTTAAATTAACGGCACATCTCATCAAGCTGAAATTTTCACAGAAGGCAGTTGGTAATGACTTCTACTTGTAGAAAAAATTTCAGGCCAATCTGATGTTTGTTGTTTGAGATAGAGTGATTTCCCCGTTTTACGTTTGTTGTGGAATAATTATACTTTTTTTTGTAATAAACCGATCACTATTTTTTTTAAATTAACGGCGCAACTCATCAAGCTGAAATTTTCTCTGAAGGCAGTTGGTAATGACTTCTACTTGTAGAAAAAATTTCAGGCCAATCTGATGTTTGTTGTTTGAGATAGAGTGATTTCCCCGTTTTACGTTTGTTGTAGAATAATTATACTTTTTTGTTTAATAAACCTATTACGGTTTTTTAAAAATTAACGGCACAACTCATCAAGATGAAATTTTTACAGAAGGCAGTGAGTACTGACTTCAACTTGTAGAAAAAATTTCAGGCCAATCTGATGTTTGTTGTTAGAGATAGAGTGATTTCCCCGTTTTATGTTTGTTGTAGAATAATTATACTTTTTTGTGTAATAAACCTATTACGGTTTTTTAAAAATTAACGGCGCAACTCATCAAGCTGAAATTTTCAAAAAAAGGCAGTTGGTAATGGCTTCTATTTGCAGAAAAAATTTCATGTCAATCTGACGTTTTTTGTTAGAAATAGAGCGATTTCCCCGGTTTACTTTTGTTGTGGAAAAAAAATTTAATCAAAGATTTTTAACAAAAAGCAGTTTACATATAGGACATTAAAAACATCCGGATTGTTTGGTGTTTTTAGTAACGTTCAACCTGCTTGTAAACGGGGTGATCGAGTTAAGAATCGAAAAAAAAAATCGGCGTGGAAACTACGTAATTCAAAGGGGGAAGCCTGGCTCAAGGCTCCCCCATCCTCCATGAGACACGCCAATTAGTCTTAAAACCTGAAATCTGATGTCTGTGTTAGGGAATCTAAACTTTTTTTTTTTTTATTGGGGTTTGTAGTTCCTTCTTCAGAATGGTTAAGTTTGCCATAACCGCAACTTGTAGAAACAATTTCAGGCCAATCTGACGATTGAGGTTAGAGATAGAGTGATTTGCCTGCTAAACTTTTGTGTAATAAACCTATCACTATTTTTTAAAAATTAACGGCACAACTCATCAAGCTGAAATTTTCACAGAAGGCAGTTGGTAATGACTTCTACTTGTAGAAAAAATTTCAGGCCAATCTGATGTTTGTTGTTTGAGATAGAGTGGTTTCCCCGTTTTACGTTTGTTGTGGAATAATTATACTTTTTTGTGTAATAAACCTATCACTATTTTTAAAAAATTAACGGCACAACTCATCAAGCTGAAATTTTCACAGAAGGCAGTTGGTAATGACCTCTACTTGTAGAAAAAAATTCAGGACAATCTAATGCTTGTTGTTTGAGATAGAGTGATTTCCCCGTTTTACGTTTGTTGTGGAATAATTATACTTTTTTTGTTTAATAAACTTATCACTATTTTTTAAAAATTAACGGCACAACTTATCAAGCTGAAATTTTTATAGAAGGCAGTTGGTAATGACATCTACTTGTAGAAAAAATTTCAGGCCAATCTGACGGTTGGGGTTAGAGATAGAGTGATTTCCCCGGTTTACTTTTGTTGTGGAAAAAATTAATTGAAGATTTTTAACAAAAGAAAAGCAATCTTCATATAGGACATTAAAAACCATCTCGGATTGTAGGTTGTTCTTAGTAACGTTCAACCTGCTTGCAAACGGGGTGATTGGGTTTAGAATCGAAAAAAAAAATCGGCGTAGAAACTACCTTATTAAAAAGGGGAAGCCTGGCTCAAAGCTTCCCCATGAGACACGGCAATGAGTCTTAACACCTGCAATCTGATGTCTGTGTTAGGGAATCCGAACTTTTTTTTTTTTTTTTTTTTTTTTTTTTTTTTTTTTTTTTTTTTTTTTTTTTTTTTTTTTTTTTTTGCGCTTTGTAGTGACTACTCCATAATGGTTGAGTTTGCAATAATTTCTACTTGTAGAAACAATTTCAGGCCAATCTGAAGGTTGGGGTTAGAGATAGAGCGATTTGCCTGTTTTACTGTTGTGTAATAAATCTATTACGATTTTTTTTTTTATTAACGGCACAACAAATCAAGCTGAAATTTTCACAGAAGGCAGTTGGTAGTGACCTCTACTTGTAGAAAAAATTTCAGGCCAATCTGATGTTTGTTGTTTGAGATAGAGTGAATTCCTCGTTTTACGTTTGTTGTGGAATAATTATACTTTTTTGTGTAATAAACCGATCACTATTTTTTTTAAAATTAACGGCACAACTCATCAAGCTGAAATTTTCTCTGAAGGCAGATGGTAATGACTTCTACTTGTAGAAAAAATTTCAGGCCAATCTGATGTTTGTTGTTTGAGATAGAGTGATTTCCCCGTTTTACGTTTGTTGTGGAATAATTATACTTTTTTGTGTAATAAACCTATCACTATTTTTTAAAAATTAACGGCACAACTCATCAAGCTGAAATTTTCACAGAAGGCAGTTGGTAGTGACCTCTACTTGTAGAAAAAATTTCAGGACAATCTAATGCTTGTTGTTTGAGATAGAGTGATTTCCCCGTTTAACGTTTATTGTGGAATAATTATACTTTTTAGTGTAATACACCTATCACTATTTTTTTTTAATTAACGGCACAACTCATCAAGCTGAAATTTTCGCAGAAGACAGTTGGTAATGACTTCTACTTGTAGAAAAAATTTCAGGCCAATCTGATGTTTGTTGTTTGAGATAGAGTGATTTCCCCGTTTAACGTTTGTTGTGGAATAATTATACTTTTTGCTGTAATAAACCTATCACTATTTTTTTTAAATTAACGGCACATCTCATCAAGCTGAAATTTTCACAGAAGGCAGTTGGTAATGACTTCTACTTGTAGAAAAAATTTCAGGCCAATCTGATGTTTGTTGTTTGAGATAGAGTGATTTCCCCGTTTTACGTTTGTTGTGGAATAATTATACTTTTTTTTGTAATAAACCTATCACTATTTTTTTTAAATTAACGGCGCAACTCATCAAGCTGAAATTTTCTCTGAAGGCAGATGGTAATGACTTCTACTTGTAGAAAAAATTTCAGGCCAATCTGATGTTTGTTGTTTGAGATAGAGTGATTTCCCCGTTTTACGTTTGTTGTGGAATAATTATACTTTTTTGTGTAATAAACCTATCACTATTTTTTAAAAATTAACGGCACAACTTATCAAGCTGAAATTTTTATAGAAGGCAGTTGGTAATGACATCTACTTGTAGAAAAAATTTCAGGCCAATCTGACGGTTGGGGTTAGAGATAGAGTGATTTCCCCGGTTTACGTTTGTTGTGGAATAATTATACTTTTTTGTGTAATAAACCGATCACTATTTTTTTTTAAATTAACGGCACAACTCATCAAGCTGAAATTTTCTCTGAAGACAGATGGTAATGACTTCTACTTGTAGAAAAAATTTCAGGCCAATCTGATGTTTGTTGTTTGAGATAGAGTGATTTCCCCGTTTTACGTTTGTTGTGGAATAATTATACTTTTTTGTGTAATAAACCTATCACTATTTTTTTTAAATTAACGGCACAACTCATCAAGCTGAAATTTTCTCTGAAGGCAGATGGTAATGACTTCTACTTGTAGAAAAAATTTCAGGCCAATCTGATGTTTGTTGTTTGAGATAGAGTGATTTCCCCGTTTTACGTTTGTTGTGGAATAATTATACTTTTTGGTGTAATAAACCTATCACTTTTTCTTAAAAATTAACGGCACAACTCATCAAGCTGAAATTTTCACAGAAGGCAGATGGTAATGACTTCTACTTGTAGAAAAAATTTCAGGCCAATCTGATGTTTGTTGTTTGAGATAGAGTGATTTTCCCGTTTTACGTTTGTTGTGGAATAATTATACTTTTTTGTGTAATAAACCTATCACTATTTCTTTAAAATTAACGGCACAACTCATCAAGCTGAAATTTTCACAGAAGGCAGTTGGTAATGACTTCTACTTGTAGAAAAAATTTCAGGCCAATCTGATGTTTGTTGTTTGAGATAGAGTGATTTCCCCGTTTTACGTTTGTTGTGGAATAATTATACTTTTTGGTGTAATAAACCTATCACTATTTTTTAAAAATTAACGGCACATTTTATCAAGCTGAAATTTTTATAGAAGGCAGTTGGTAATGACATCTACTTGTAGAAAAAATTTCAGGCCAATCTGACGTTTGGGGTTAGAGATAGAGTGATTTCCCCGGTTTACGTTTGTTGTGGAATAATTATACTTTTTTGTGTAATAAACCGATCACTATTTTTTTAAAAATTAACGGCACAACTCATCAAGCTGAAATTTTCTCTGAAGGCAGATGGTAATGACTTCTACTTGTAGAAAAAATTTCAGGCCAATCTGATGTTTGTTGTTTGAGATAGAGTGATTTCCCCGTTTTACGTTTGTTGTGGAATAATTATACTTTTTTGTGTAATAAACCTATCACTATTTTTTTTTAAATTAACGGCACAACTCATCAAGCTGAAATTTTCTCTGAAGGCAGATGGTAATGACTTCTACTTGTAGAAAAAATTTCAGGCCAATCTGATGTTTGTTGTTTGAGATAGAGTGATTTCCCCGTTTTACGTTTGTTGTGGAATAATTATACTTTTTGGTGTAATAAACCTATCACTATTTTTTAAAAATTAACGGCACAACTTATCAAGCTGAAATTTTTATAGAAGGCAGTTGGTAATGACATCTACTTGTAGAAAAAATTTCAGGCCAATCTGACGGTTGGGGTTAGAGATAGAGTGATTTCCCCGGTTTACGTTTGTTGTGGAATAATTATACTTTTTTGTGTAATAAACCGATCACTATTTTTTTTTAAAATTAACGGCACAACTCATCAAGCTGAAATTTTCTCTGAAGGCAGATGGTAATGACTTCTACTTGTAGAAAAAATTTCAGGCCAATCTGATGTTTGTTGTTTGAGATAGAGTGATTTCCCCGTTTTACGTTTGTTGTGGAATAATTATACTTTTTTGTGTAATAAACCTATCACTATTTTTAAAAAATTAACAGCACAACTCATCAAGCTGAAATTTTCACAGAAGGCAGTTGGTAATGACTTCTACTTGTAGAAAAAATTTCAGGCCAATCTGATGTTTGTTGTTTGAGATAGAGTGGTTTCCCCGTTTTACGTTTGTTGTGGAATAATTATACTTTTTTGTGTAATAAACCTATCACTATTTTTTAAAAATTAACGGCACAACTCATCAAGCTGAAATTTTCTCTGAAGGCAGATGGTAATGACTTCTACTTGTAGAAAAAATTTCAGGCCAATCTGATGTTTGTTGTTTGAGATAGAGTGATTTCCCCGTTTTACGTTTGTTGTGGAATAATTATACTTTTTTGTGTAATAAACCTATCACTATTTTTTTTTAAACTAACGGCACAACTCATCAAGCTGAAATTTTCTCTGAAGGCAGATGGTAATGACTTCTACTTGTAGAAAAAATTTCAGGCCAATCTGATGTTTGTTGTTTGAGATAGAGTGATTTCCCCGTTTTACGTTTGTTGTGGAATAATTATACTTTTTTGTGTAATAAACCTATCACTATTTTTTAAAAATTAACGGCACAACTCATCAAGCTGAAATTTTCACAGAAGGCAGTTGGTAGTGACCTCTACTTGTAGAAAAAATTTCAGGACAATCTAATGCTTGTTGTTTGAGATAGAGTGATTTCCCCGTTTAACGTTTATTGTGGAATAATTATACTTTTTAGTGTAATACACCTATCACTATTTTTTAAAAATTAACGGCACAACTCATCAAGCTGAAATTTTCTCTGAAGACAGATGGTAATGACTTCTACTTGTAGAAAAAATTTCAGGCCAATCTGATGTTTGTTGTTTGAGATAGAGTGATTTCCCCGTTTTACGTTTGTTGTGGAATAATTATACTTTTTTGTGTAATAAACCTATCACTATTTTTTAAAAATTAACGGCACAACTCATCAAGCTGAAATTTTCTCTGAAGGCAGATGGTAATGACTTCTACTTGTAGAAAAAATTTCAGGCCAATCTGATGTTTGTTGTTTGAGATAGAGTGATTTCCCCGTTTTACGTTTGTTGTGGAATAATTATACTTTTTTGTGTAATAAACCTATCACTATTTTTTTTTAAACTAACGGCACAACTCATCAAGCTGAAATTTTCTCTGAAGGCAGATGGTAATGACTTCTACTTGTAGAAAAAATTTCAGGCCAATCTGATGTTTGTTGTTTGAGATAGAGTGGTTTCCCCGTTTTACGTTTGTTGTGGAATAATTATACTTTTTTGTGTAATAAACCTATCACTATTTTTTAAAAATTAACGGCACAACTCATCAAGCTGAAATTTTCTCTGAAGGCAGATGGTAATGACTTCTACTTGTAGAAAAAATTTCAGGCCAATCTGATGTTTGTTGTTTGAGATAGAGTGATTTCCCCGTTTTACGTTTGTTGTGGAATAATTATACTTTTTTGTGTAATAAACCGATCACTATTTTTTTTTAAATTAACGGCACAACTCATCAAGCTGAAATTTTCTCTGAAGACAGATGGTAATGACTTCTACTTGTAGAAAAAATTTCAGGCCAATCTGATGTTTGTTGTTTGAGATAGAGTGATTTCCCCGTTTTACGTTTGTTGTGGAATAATTATACTTTTTTGTGTAATAAACCTATCACTATTTTTTTTAAATTAACGGCACAACTCATCAAGCTGAAATTTTCTCTGAAGGCAGATGGTAATGACTTCTACTTGTAGAAAAAATTTCAGGCCAATCTGATGTTTGTTGTTTGAGATAGAGTGATTTCCCCGTTTTACGTTTGTTGTGGAATAATTATACTTTTTTGTGTAATAAACCTATCACTATTTTTTTTTAAATTAACGGCACAACTCATCAAGCTGAAATTTTCTCTGAAGGCA